CAAGCAGTTGAAGCTTGTCTACACCACAGGTCTCAGCCTCACACAGGATTTACTGATGTGAAGACGCAGGAAATTAGAGTCTTCACACTTTACCCCTCTTTTCCTTCCCCTACCTCTTGGTTTTCAGAAAGCATTGTTTCCCGTTGTCAGGGTTCAGTTACACTGAATTCTGTTCTACGATCACAGTTCATGTTGCTTGTAAGCCTTGTTTCCTCATTCCTACATGGCTGGCCCACCTACCAGGGAGTCCAGTTCTTGAATGGTTTTGATTCATGTTCTCAATCACAATGAGTTCTTTTGCACACATGAAAAAAAAAAAAAACAACTAGGGGTGCTGGGTTGCTGCATGTCCGAGGACATTTATATGCTGGCTTCATTCAGCATCCGAGGGACGGGTGGTCCTGGCTTGGTTTTCCTGCCTCCGAACTTCACAGGCGTTGCTGTGCTGTCTGCTAGAAACTAATGCAGCCACGTGGAGATCCCAGAGCCGCCCTGACTGTTTCCTTTGTGGGTGATTTGCCCCTCCTTCCTAAAGGTCGAGAAGTCACCCATCAGAGAGCACCGCTGTCCTCTGGCTGCACCTGGGGACTGACCTGTCTGTGCAGGGCACCTGTGGTCGCACTTCGTGCTGCAGCGTGTTTGAGTATTTTCTCCTCCATTTCTTCTGTTCCTTTTTCCAAAAACAGCAGTATGTACATTGGCATTAATTTTTCTGCCGTTCATCTTTTTTGTTGTGCTACAGTATACAGAGCATAAGATGCCACGTTAGTCGTTTTTAAGTGTAGACTTCAGTGGCATTAAGTACATTCAGAATGTCGTCCAGCTATCACCGCCATCCATCTCCAGACCTTTCTCACCATCCCAAACAAAAACCCCACGCTCACTGAGTGACAGCCCCCCACGTCTCCTCCCGCAGCTCCCGGTGCCTTCTGCTCTGCTGTCGCTGTGAAGCTTCCTGCTCTGGGGACCTCGTGGAAGTGGAATCCTGCAGCGTGTGTCCTTCTGCATCTGGCTGTTTCACTCCACGTAATGCTCTGCAGACATGCCCGCGCGCAGCACGCGTTGGAGGCCCCTTCCCTCAGAGCCGGGTGGCGCTCCTTCGTGTGCGTTTAGCACTTGGGGAAACTCGCCTTCTCCAGGATAGGCCCACGAGCGGGATTGCTGGATCGCATAGTAAGTCTGTTTTTAGTTCTTTAAGGAACCTCCATACTGTTCTCCGCAGTGGCTGCACCAGTTCACATTCCCACCAGCAGCACAGGAGCGTTCCTTTTTCTCCAGTCCCTCTCCAGCATTTGTCACTTGTAGACTTTTTAATGTTGGCCATTCTGACTGGTGTCAGGTGATACTTCATTGTAGTTTTGATTTGCAGCTGGATAATACGGTATTTTTGTGTTTACCTTTTTGAGGAACTCCAGACTTTTTTACAGCAGCTGCGCCATTTTACATCCTTACCAGCCGTGCACAAGAGTCCAGATTTCTCCACATCCTCGCCAACTTTTACATGAAAGATGTTTACTTTCTGATTATAGCCATCATAACAGGAGTGCAGTGGCATCTCAGTGTGGTTTTAATTTGCATTTCCTCGATGGCTAATGATGTTGGGTATCTTTTAACGTGCTCACTGGCTACTTGTGGCTGGCATCAGGAGTACAGTCTTTTTAGAGACATTATTTAACTTGTGGGATCTGGTGCTGACTCAGTGCCAGAACTGAACTGAGCAGGGAAACACCCAGTTGCTGTCAGATCACTGGTATAGGAACCGTCCCCCTCGGGGCTCGCCGGCGCGCGCTCTGGCCCACTCAGCCCGTGGCAGGGCCCCGTGGTGACGGCTGCGCTTCAGCCGCCTTGTTAGACGCCCCCGGATCTCTCTTTGCTCCTGTACGTCCTGTTTCTTTGCCGATACTCTGCTTGCTGGGACGCCATGCTCTTGGTTTCCTTTGTGCCTTGTCTGGCACATTCAGGGATAGTTTCTACTAATCTTTTCTTCCTACTAAAGGCCATACGTTCTTGATTCTTTGCATACATAGTAATTTGTATTGAAAACTGGACATTTTTAATATTAAATTTTCTTTGAACAGTTTCTGGCTATTGTGAATAATGCTGCTAGGCACATTCACGTGGAAGCATCTGTGTGGACGTGCTCTAAATTCCCTTGGGGGTACACCAGCAGCAGTACCGCTGTAGCTGTCTCAGTTTCCCACGGCGGCTGCAGCATTTTCCTTCCCTGCCGGGAGTGCATGAGGGCCAGCTCCCCCAACACACGCCAGGCTGGCTGTGTTCTGTCTCGCAGCCCCTGGGGCACGTGGAGCGGTCCTGCCTTGGGGTCTGCTTTGTGTTTGTCTGATGGCTGAGATGTTGGGCGTCTTTTCGTGTGTTTATTGTCTGTATCTCATCTCTGGAGGAATGGTGGTACAGATCCTTTGCCCATTTTTAAAAGACCTGTAGATCAGTTTTAGGCTCAGAGGAGAGTCTCGCAGACGGTGCAGAGCGCCCACGGATGCTGTCCTCGCATCCCCGCTGGCAGCGCCCCCTAGTGGCGATGGCCTGTGAGAGGACCGCACTTGTTACAGCCTATGAATGAGTACTGATACGTCGTTACTGACTGAGCCTGTGAGTTCCCTGCCTGGAGTTCCCTTCTTGTTGTCGGGTTCTGTGGGCTTTGGCAGACGTGTAAGGTCACGTATCCACCAGAATGGTACTGGGCAGAGCAGCTTCACTGCCCTACACTCTTCGCTCCACGTGCTCGTCTGCCCCACCCCGGGCCCCTGACCTCTGTCTCCACGACGTTCTGGAGAACATCACAGAGCTGGAACATGTACACTCGCTTCTTTCCTTAGCAGTGAGTGCTTAAGCTTCCTGTATGTCCTTTCATTGTTTGATGGAGATCTCCTCCCGTCTACACCCTGAGAAGCGATGGGGCTGTTGGGATGAAATTCGTGGAGCGGGGCCCACCTGACGACCCCCTTGACGCCATTAGCTCCCGAGCTTGTTCCTGCTGAGCTGTGGTGGTGTGTCAGGGCAGTGTGCCGTTCCTGCCCTGGTGCCGGCCAGGCCGCCTCTGCTCCGTGGACGTGTCTGCTCGTCCGCCTCTGCAGTGTGGGGAGCAGCCGTCCTGTGACCCCCGTCCTCTGGTCAATCTAACCGGAGAGGCGGAGACTCGGTGCCCTGTGATGTGATATCCACGCCCATGGTTCCTGGTACAAGAGCTTCCAAATCCCATGGAGGTTCCTGAGAGACGGGGAGGGGGGAACCCTGGTTATTCATGCAGAGCCCCTTTCAGCCATTACCCATGTCTACTAGGAAGGTGGCTCCTGGAAAGCTTCAGAGTGGCAGTTGGGCAGCAGGAAGACCATCGTGTGCCCAGAGGGTCGGACCTTCCAGCCCCACCTCCCCACCCCCTACAGAGGAAGAGGGCTGGGATGTGCCTGATCACGAGTGGCCGGTGATCTAATCAGTCGCACCTACGAAAGGTGCCTCCATCCAAACCCGTAAACAACAGGATGTGTAGAACTTCTGGACTGAGCACATCGAGGTACGGGGCGGGGGGCCCCCAGGGGGGGCTCCGAGTGCCCGTGCACCCCCCGTGCGCTGCTCCTGACTCGTCTCCTTCCCCGCAAACCAGTGTCTTGCACAGCATCTTCCTCCGTCCCCTGAGCTGTTCTGGCAAATTCGCAAATCCAAGGAGGGGCCACAAGAACCCCGTTTACAGCCAGTCGCTCAGATGCAGGGGTGGCCTTGGCGGGCAGTCTCGTGGGACTGAGCTCTTTACCCGTGGGGTCTGACGCCAACTCCACGTGGCCTCAGAACTTCATGGAACCCGCAGGCTTCCTGTTGGTGTCAGCAGATTTGGAGAACTGCTTGTTGGTACAGAAACCCCACATGTTTGGTGTCAGAATAGAAATAAATCACAGACTCTTGGAGACGTGTGACTTCCAAGCTTCTTACATGTCACACTCGAAACAGTCTCCTGTTTATAGTTTTAAATTTCTTCCATAATATTTTAATATTCCAACAGTACTTAAATGTTTTTTCTGACTAACTGGCAGTGGACTTTTAGGTTTGACAGCAAACGCAATAGATAAATGGAGCATCACCAACAGAGGACACTGTGGAGGAAGCAGAGACAGGCGGTGGACTGGGCGGAGCACCTGCATCCCGCACCTCTGGCAAGCGTCTCGCGTCCGGAGCACAAGCCCTCGGCAGAAAGGCGAGGAGGGCGCTTTCCTCTGAAAAGACACTCAGATGGCCAGGAACCCCAGGGAGGACGATGGATGTCATTAGTCCTGTGCACTAGAAACGCGAATGAGAGCAGCGGTGGGACACTTCACACCCACTAAGATTGTGTAATTTGTTTTAAAAACTGGAGCGTCACAGCTGTACTAAATGCCACTGAATTACACACTTGAAATGGTTAGCTGCATGTGACGCGACTCTTCCTTAGAACTCTGCAGCGTCTTCTCCGTAGCAGCCCGCCCACTCGGTGCGCTGCCTGCGGCATCCAGGCCCTTCCAGCCACTCTCCCATCACCCGCTCGGTCACAGGGAGGGAGGGGGGCAGCCGCAGGGACGCTGCTCCTGGGGGGCCTGGGACCTCCGCGCCAGCTCACCTGGTGGACGTCGTGCTGGGAATCTGGGGGGGGGGTTCCTGTTTGGATGGTCAGAATCTCTCAGCGCCTCTGCCAGGAGGAGCTGAGCGGCAGGCGAGGACGCAGAGTCAGTTTCCCCTCTCGGTCAGCACATGTATCAAGGTGTGTATTTTATGACGTGTACCCGGCGCTACCGGGACGACTGGACCAGCACTTCACTCACACACGCTGACGAGACTGAACACGGGACCAGACAAGCACAGGTGGGATAAGCGGGGCACGGCACGGACGGCGCCCTGCCTCCTCGGAAGAAGAAAGAGACTAAACACAAGACGGAATGAGAACACCTCCAGCAGGGAAAACCAGATTTGCAGACTTGAAAACCACGACAGATTTAATGTCTGAAAAGCTCGCTTCAAATTTAACTCCTTCCTTGCTCTTCAGTGAGAGAGCGCGGGTTCTCGGAATAACGAACAGAATGTCTGCGACACCCTTCACCCCCGCCGAGAGCGACACCACTGTCCAGGGGCACGGCCGCGTCCCGTGCTCACGCCGGGCACAGTCGTCACTTCTGGCTCGTGGGCCGGCGGCGATCAGCGTCAGCGGCGGTGGCTGAGAACTCTCACTAGAACTCCTGCTGCTAAAACAGCAACAGCCGAAGCCACAGCCGTCCCGCGATAGACGACCAGCTGCCTCCCCGACAGGACCTCCCCGACAGTGCCCGCCGCGTCCTGGCCGCGGTCTCCCACCGCCGCCAGCTGCGTGGCCTGCGTCTCTGGTCGGACGACGTCGGAGAGAATCACTGCAGCAGACTCCTCTTTTCCTGGGACGTGTGGACCTGTTCACAGGGAACAGCGGGCTATTTACTGAGGGGCTAGTCTGAGAAAAGGGACGTCCCTGAAGGTGACACAAGACCACCTTGTAAACAGTGACTGTCAGTCATCGGTTGTCACATGTGAAGTCACCTGAACAGCGCTTCCTCAGGGAGCCCAGATGCGGTCTCGCAGTTACAAGCGCAGACAGGTGCTACTGAGCGCAAGAGCAGGAGCCATGAGCGAGGCCGCTCAGGCTTGTGGGGCAGAAATAACGTCCAGAATGGCCTCGGTTACCTGTCGGGGCAGACGGGGCGGCCTCTTTAATCGTCTTCAGCCCGGCTCGAACCTGCGCCTGCAAACAAGTGTCCAGCAGTGAGCTCAGTGTAAGTCAGGGGAGGCCGGTGCTCTGATGTCAAAGTGTCACTTAACTACTACTGAAGGTTCCCCACGGGGCAGTGCTCCTTGGTCCTGAAAATGCCAAAAACATTAGAACATGACCTAAAACCACTGTTCTTCTCCCCAGTGCACAGTAACAGCATTAAAAGCTGCTTGTTCCCACAGCTGCAGATGTAGT